CATCCATCCATCCATCCATCCATCCACCCACCCATCTGTCCGTCCGTCCGTCCATGTATCCTTCCCCTCAATCCATCCTCTCGTGTTTCATTTAACTTGTTTATTGTATTTTTAGGAGAATGCAAGGATTTTAACCGGTACTGTAAATTGCTTCAGATCCATGGATATTGCATAAGCTTCTATCATACGTTAATGAAAAAACATTGCCCAAAGTCTTGCAATTTTTGCAGTGGTTCCTTTGAACGAGATGCCCTGAACGCACACAACAAGTATCGCCGCATCCACAACGCACCAGATATGACTCTAAATTCTGCGATGTCACGCCAGGCCGCAGCCTATGCTGCCGAGTTAGCCAGACGTGGTGGAAGCCTGGTCCATTCATCAACTTCTGATGGGGAAAACCTGATCAAGGCTTGTGGACGACTTGCGCACATGACCGGTGCTGCTGCTACTAAATTGTGGTATGAAATTCAAGTTTCCACTTGCGCATGCGTAGTGCATACAATATATTTAGCACGAGCCGTAGACGAGTGTTTCTCACACTTCTTGAGTGCTTATGGCGCTTTCTAAGTGCTTTCTTGCTGTAGAGAGCACTTAAAAAGCTGTTTTATTCATTTCATTACATAGTTACTAATTTTATTTTGGTATTGAATTTATTTACGCAAAAAGAAAGACGGCCACAGGATCTACCAGCCGACTTTTTTGACCAATCAGCGCGCATGTACTATCCTAACTATATAATATATTGTTTTGAGCATACTCACTGACAACACTGGTCGATTCATTTGTAAAATTCATTTGATAATTTAGTTGGTTGAACGTACTGGAAATAAGTGTTTTTGAGCATGCGAAGTGCATAAGGATCATGTATTGAACAACAAACCATGTTTTCGTCATGCCGTTTCAGCAACCACTGACTTCTATTCTTTCTTCAGTGATGGATCTTTTACGTGATCTTATGGACCTTCCTAGATTCCTAGATCTCACGCGGCAGCCATGGTTATGAAGTTAAATTTCCCCCGCGTAGCGTCGCATTCAACCAGCCGATCTAAGAAAAATAGCTAGCCAATCAGAATCAACAAAATGTGCAAAACTGAGGTGTCACACATGAGGATTCAAAGCATCTATCAAGGAATGCGGCATTGTTATTTTTTTGAAAATTATCTGAAGTGGGCTCCCTGTGTTTTGTCATTTCAGGTACGATGAGGTTTGTTACTTCGATTTTAACAACGGTGGGTTCAGCAAAAAAACAGGTCACTTCACGCAACTCGTCTGGAAGGGAAGCACCAAACTCGGAATTGGAAAAGCTACCGATGGTTGGTGTACCTATATAGTTGCTCGATATAGACGACCGGGCAACTACCGAGGACAGTATCGACAGAATGTACTGAAAGGCAGCTTTAACAGAAGGAGGACGTGCAACTTAGGAAAGCGTGAAAGTTATGTGGTGTGATAGTCACGTGATGTAGTCACGTGATGTGATAGTTAATAAATAGTAAAAGAAATCCTATTATGTTTGCGTAGTGTTGCATTGATTAACCTCACGTTATTGGTAGATCTCTTAACAAGAGAAAAAAACTATAGCCCTGATAACAACACCCAACATATCTTTCATATGCCTTCACTTCAACCTCGTTGAGCTAAGCCACTGCTGTACTTTACTGTGGCCGGTGATTAGGGATGACAAGTTCTTTATTCCCCTCGAAATATTAAAGAATATCATCCAACATGGCTGCCACTTACACTACAATACAATAAACAGAATATCATCCAACATGGCTGCCACTTACACTACAATACAATAAATAGAGGGTGACGAGGGTGACGTATTAGTCGTAAGAATCTAACTTACGGTCCTTATTTATATTTCTTTCCCAGTATATTTTCACCCCATTCCATTTGAATAGTACTGCGCATGCTCAGTGGAGCAGCTTGTTGCTATAAAAGGCCATCGACATAAGTGTCACTCTCTTCTTGTCACACTCGCTTGGTTTCACTCATTTGGTCGATGGACGGATAAAAAGGTAGTTTCAAATACTTTTCCTAATTAGTCAAAGTAGCTTGAATAGGTTTTGCGCTAGGGTTTCTAGCCCCAACTTGGTTAAAGTTTGTGCTAGGGTTAGGGTTAGGTTAGGGTTGAAGGTTAGGTTTTGCGCTAGGGTTTCTAACCCCAACTTGGCTAAGGTTTGTGCTAGGGTTAGGGTTAGGGTTTAAGGTTAGGTATTGCGCTAGGGTTTCTACCCCAACTTGGCTAAGGTTTGAGCTAGGGTTAGGGTTAGGGTTGTTTTTGCTAGTTTTATTTTAGCCTCAAATTGGGTCAGGTTTGCGTTAGGGTTAGGGTTAGGGTCAGTCCACTTTTGAGATATGCTTCGCCGGTCACACATAAAAGTTTCAGTACGAGACTACGTATTAAAGTAAATATATCACTTTCTGAATATTTTGCACTTGTGCGTGATAAACGATCGGCGGGTTTTGGCGCCTTTTTAGTCACACGTTTTTATTGTTGCGCGCTCGTTAATTACACGAATCTATGTAGTTTTAAGTAGAAAATGCACTCACATATTCTTTCTTTTGTTTCCTTCGTGTTGTTGGGTTTATTGCGCACTAACAAAGTAGCTCAGAGATATTCAAGAAGCATGAATAGATTCAGAGGTTTTCTGCAAATAGTTTTCTTCATTGCCATCATGGTTAATCGATTCCTAGATATTTTAGTCTTCATACTCAAGAGGTAAGCCATATTTTCATTATCATAAACACTACATACTACCTCAAACGTGCTTGTCATCACAACTTCGTTTGGCTTGTTAATTGTGCGCATAATTTTTTGATATTTGTTCTTCAACGTTTCTCTCGCTTGCGCGCTCAGTTCAACATTCAAAAATAAGCTGCCACGTCACGTTCTTCGTTTCCTTTAGGAACCGACCATCAAACACGATGTGGATCGAAATTGCTATCAGAACATGTAAACAAAATGGCGGGCACATGGATTCAAGGTATTCATAATAATATTTACATGCACTGTATACATCCATAGCGCTGCATGGATCGTTGGACATTCAATATCAATTCACTGCATTTACTCAGTGCAGTTTTCGATTAATAATAATAATAATAATAATGATGATGATGATGATGATGATGATGATGATGATAATGATAATACTGATGGTTATGGTAATAATAATAATAATAATGATGATGATGATGATAATGATAATACTGATGGTTATGATAATAATAATAATAATAATAATAATAATAATGATGATGATGATGATGATGATGATGATGATGTCAACTTAACAGAAGATAACCAAGACGAAGATAGTGAGGGCGCGAAAATTGGTCGAGATGACGAAAATGCGTTATTCTTTTGCCCCGAAGAAGGCTGTATTATGTCTTTTCAGA